CTACCAAGGCTCAACCACTTCTCAACTGTGGTTGAAAGCCAGGAATTTTGCTTTAGGTGAATTTTAAATTTCCCTGCCACGCAAACAGCCCCCCAAAATGGGGTCACGAAACAAAACTGTCCCGAAAGATGTGATCGAAATTAGCCGAAGGAGGGGAAAAAAAAAAGAAATCCTTCGCTCTTGATTTTGATTTTTCTCGGCAGGTGCCGAAGACCAACGAAGACTTATCTAGCAGGTAGATGTTTTCCTGGCACGAACGGTGGAAGAGGAAAACGGGGGGGGGGGCCTTGTGGTAGCGGGCGGCAACTTTGGGCCCTGGTCTGATTCCCAAGACGGATCGGTCGACCTTGAGCAAATGGGTTCATCTGGGAAAAAGAGGTCAGGTTGAGTCACATGAAAAGAGTTTGGCGGGTTGCGTTTCGAACTCGCAGCTCTTGGGACCCCACCAGCCATCAGCCAACAAGGAAAAAAAGACCCACAGGCATGCATGCATGCATGCATGCATGCATGCATGCATGCATGCATGCATAAATAAATAAATAAATAAATAAATAAATAAATAAATAAATAAATAAATGTTTTCGCCAAGTTCCCATCTGGGTCAGTTTCAAAGGGATCGAAAACAACAGCGACACTATTTCTAATGGTTTCCCCAGCCTAGAAAAGCCATTTTCTCGCTAGAGGAGAGAAAAAAGAGAGAGAGAGAGAGAGAGAGAGAGAGAGAAAACCGAAGAGGCATTTTTTATTTTAAAAAATAAAAATGTTTTTATTTTAAGAAACAAAACAAAATGTGGAAGACACTTAAACACACACACACACACACACACATATGTATGTATTTATTGATGGTCTATCGTAGAAAAATGCACAGTATTTATTTATTTATTTATTTGGGGGGGAACATGGGGGGGCAAGGGGGAGTGGGCTGGAAAGGACGAGGGGGAGGAAAACAAGAGGGAAGAGGGGGGGTTTCGGCGGAAGAGTGGGCGCAGGGTGCGAAATCCGACACCAAAGGCAAAAAACAGCGATGCCACGAAAGTGGTCGCCATGGCAACCCCCAACTTAATATTTCAGCCCTTTTTTCTCCAGCCGCAGCGGATTAAATATAATGACAAGATGTTCCTCCTTTGGAAGGAAGGAAAAGGGGGGGGGGAGAGAGGGGAGGGGAGGAGGAAGGGGGAAAAAAAGCAACCTGTTGCCATGGCAACGTTGTCGCCTATCAAATAACCACAGGGGCTGGACCGCAAAGGAATATCAAAAAGGATGGGGGGGGGAGATAGGCGCCTCCCCCCATGGGTGGGTGGGTGGTGAAGAGGAAGAAGAAGGGGGCGCTCCACCTGGGGGGAATTGCTTAATGGAGAGGTGATTAATGGGGGACGGACGGACAGGAAGCTTTGATCCCCAATAGCTAACCAGATCAGGAAATCTCCTTAAGCCACATGTACACACACACACACACACACACACACACCCCAATTTCACCCCACTGCTTGCCCTGGTGGCTTGGCCCAACTGGACCCATTTCACAGAAGGATCCGTATCCAAGTGTGCGCAAAATTGCCAGCTTCCAGGCTCGGAAAGCTTGTAGCCCCCTTTAATCTCGGGGCGGCGGAGGGGGGGGGGGCAGGTCGAGCCAACATCAAACACCGATGCTTCCATTGTTAACGTTGTGATGATGGGGCTCTCCTGAAGCAGGTGAGACCCTCATTTTTGGGAGGGAAAGGAGGCTTCCCGGCTGCTCAGACCGAATGATGGATGCACAATTTTTAAGGATGCATAAATTCCCCCCCCCCACCCGCCGGACGCACACATCCGCCCAGGCTGCGTTGCAACCGGTGGGGGCCGTCCTGCTCTCCCCTTCCCACATCTGTCCTGTCCTTTGGTACGTACTAAGGCTTCCATTCCCCTCCAAGGTGGCTTCCCTTTTACAGGAGGGGAAACTGAGGCCGACACAACTGTCCCTCTCTCTCTCTCTCTCCCTTCTCTGTGTGTGTATCTTTCCATTTCTTTCCTAAGGGATATTTATTTATTTATTTATTTACTTCAAATTTATATACCGCCCTTCTCCCTAGGGACTCAGGGCGGTGTACAGCCAAATAAAAACACATAATAAATACATTAAGAACAGATTAAAAGGAAATATCTCAATTTGGCCCAAAATTTAAAAAGACAAACAAATTTAAAATCATTTAAAAGATTTGTTAGGCCAGCCCGGCTTGTTGGAAAAGGTAAGTTTTCCAACAAGGGAAACGGTTGGGAGACGGTTGCGATGAAACCAGCGGAGCAAAGAAAGGCATGTCGTATCCTCACCAGGATTTCAGGCGAGCAGAGAAATCCGGACATCAGACGGTGAGAGATTCCCAGAGGAATCTGGATGGGACGACTCTCAAATATGCAGGAATTCATTCGGTTTTTTCCTTGCATCAATATGGATGAATACTGACCGTCCTGAATATTTAATGCACAAGGATGAAAATAAACATACTTGTGTCCGGCATTATTCCGGGGTGAGGTTCTTGGAAACGAGGCAACCGTGTCCTCTTTAACACTAAACATTATAGGTTATTAAATTATAAAATGAAACGAAATACTTATCCAAATCAGGAACTGCAAGCAGTCTAAATTGCAAGATTTCACTGCTCGTCAATTCAGACACTGTTGGTCTTCCTGAAACCCCCCCCCTTTTTTTGGGGGGGGAAGGATGGAAGAGACCAACATTTGATCTTCTGCAAAATTGGAATAATTTGAGCCTACGTTTCTCCGAATTCGCTTCTCTTTTTTTTATCGTTCCACTGTTAATCCCAGCATAATCATCTTTATGATTCTCGACCATGGTTGAAAGTTCGGGGTTTTGCTTTCGGGATAGCGTAGGTGAATTTTTAATTTCGCCGCAACGCAAAGAGCCGACACTTTGCTCCCCAAAATAGGGTTACGAAACAAAATTCTCCCAAAAGAGGTGATCCGAATTAGCCAAAGGAGGGGAAAAAAAAAAAAAAAAAGAAATCCTTCGATCTGATTTTGGCTTTTCTGGATCGCAGGTGTCCTTCAAGATAAATCTTTCCGATACGCTTCTCTCGTATCGCCCGTTCTTGGGATGTGACCGAGGCTTCATCTGAACGATGCCGGAAAGAGGGGGCAAAAGGATGCCAGGGCAAAACAGTTGCAGTGGCATTTCCTGGGTTCACGCACTTGTTAAACCATGGCCACAAATGTTCAGACGGCGCTCCGAAGCAAGGCAAACTACGGGATGGCATAGCCCAGGTAACAACTGTAAATCGAAAGTAATCCCGATGCAACCCCCCCCCCAATATTACACACAGTAGCCTTGCTGCAGAAAATGGGGGAAAGTGAAGAGGAACAATTGTCTGAATCTCTTCCACAAATACACACTTGACAGGGTTTGTGACAGTCTGGATTATCCAGCTAACACCAAATCCTGAGCAAAAATAAATTAGCCTTTGAAAGAATGTAATCTACCTCTCTCTCTCTCCCCCTCCCTAAAAACATACATAAACGCACACATGTATCCCCCAAAAAATGCAAAAAAAATATTAATGGATATCTCAATTTAATTCGCGTCACGATAGATGGGTAAAGAATTTAAGAGGAGCAAGGAAGGGGTGGACGCAACATGTTGGTATCCTCAAAGTCCTAACCCGCAACTGGTCAAAGCTTATACTTTATACGTTCAAATCTCACCAGGCTCAAGGTTGACTCAGCCTTCCAACCCTTGCGAGGTAGGTAAAATGAGGACCCGGATTGTGGGAGCAATAAGCTGATTTTGTATAAAAAAAAGAACACCGCTTTGGGGGGTGTATATACCTACTAAGCAGGTATATACAAAAGTATGAAGGCTATTGCTTAACGCATTGTAAGCCGCCCTGAGTCTCCGGAGAAGGGCGACATATAAATCGAACCAATAAATAAATAAATAAATAAATAAATTTGGTTTTTGTTAGCTGCCCCAATATTTCCAACTCCACGCAGCCCCCCCCCCCCAAAGCCACCCGGTTCAATAACCCCACAGTACAAATCCGGCTGCTCTTAAGAGAGGTGCTATTTGTCTCGGGGTGGCTGGGCGGGTCTCGCAAGGACTTTCCCCAATTCTTCCTGTCCATTTGCAACAGCTGGATTTGCCCTGCCTGGCTGTCCGGGGTGGGGGTGGGGGGGTGGGGAGAGTGAACGCAGGGCCCGTAGTGACCAGGCTCACGTCCCAGTTGGGCTTCCGCCTGTACAGAAAGGCTTCTACGTACTTATGAAAAATACGCTTGATCCTGTGGTTACAGGAAGTCTGGATGCTCCCCCTAAGCTGAGTGGGGTTTCCCTGCTCCCACTCATGGAGGGGGGGGGGAAATGGATCCATGCCCACCTTCCCTGAAAGGGGAGGCATCCATCGGCATCCCTGCAGGTTGGGGTGCCACTTCCTCCGCCCCATGGAAAGTTCTCCCCAATGGATGCGCTCCCCAGAGCAGCCAATTTGGAGAAATGTTGCATCTTCCCTCCAAAAAAGGGGGCCTAGCCATCTAGCCTGCTCAGGGGAGGGGTGCGTGTGCATGGGGGGGGGAAGCCTCCCCTCAAGGCCCCCTCTCCACTCCAGAGCCCCAGCCTGTCCAGGCAAGCCAGCCAGCTAAGCAAGCAGGCTGTCAGAATCGTCCCGTCCCTCTCGCAACGGCAGCCAATGGCTACGGCTCTACGGCCCTCCTCCCTCCCCTCTCGGAGGGCCCCCTCCTGCCAGCCCTTGCAACCGGGACAGGGCAGGTGGGCTCGGGGCTGACACCAGCCCCCTTGCAGGAGGAGGAGGAGGAAGAGGACGAAAGCCAAGCTGCCGGCCACGTTGACAGCTGCCAAGTCCCATTCTTGGACATGCAACCAGGGATTGGGGGGAGTGGGGGCGCAGAGGGGTGGGAAGAAGCCACTCTCCACCAATCCCTCCTCCCGGGCCAGCCCACCCTCCCCCCCTTCCGATCCCCCATCCCCCCCCCAGCCAGTCTTCTGCCTACCTGAAGGGGCCGAACAGGTCATCCATGACAGTGACAGCTTCGCCCGGGCGCTGCAACGGATGCTACCTGACCTTGCCTCTCTCTGTGGCTCCAGCAAAAGAGGGGAGGAGGGTGGGCAAAAAAACCCCCCCAAAAACCCCAGGAAAAGAAGAAGCAGAAGGGGAGGGGGGAAGAGAGTCGGCCTGCTTCCTCTCCCCCCCCCCTCCCCAGCTGAACTAATCAAAATGGAGGCCCATGCAGTCCGAGGTAGACCCCGGGAGAGCTTTCGCCCGAGCTTGTGCGGTGACCTCAGCCCCGCACGCAGGACGCAGAAAACTTCGCCCTTAAGACTGGCGGCACTGAGCATGTGCTGTGACCCCCCCCTCCCTCCTCTCCTGTTTCCGTAAATAAAGCACCGCCACACAGCCGCGCACGGGGAGGAGGGCTGCACCACCACCGCCAGCCCAGCCACAAAACGCAGCGACGAGAAGACGTCGGCTGCTTCGCCTAGCAAGCTAGTGTGCAGGGAAGTGGGGCCCTTTGCAAGGGAGTCTGAGACGGGCAACGTACGTTCGGGGAGGAAGGTCTGGCTCCATCCAAGGTGGGGGGTGGTAGTGGGGGGGGGGGCTTGCACCCTCCCTAGAGGAGAAGACAGGCTGCAGGGACAGGGAATCACACACATGCTCGCATACAACCGCTACCTTTTCATTTCTTTCGGGGAGGGGGATCCCTTCTGCCGGAGGGGTCCAGATGCACAAGCCAAGGTATAAATAGAAGGCCAGGCAGGATATAGCTTGCTTTTCCATCCACCTCACAGGTCCCCAACAGGGTGTCCTACCTACACGGGCTTATTCCCTAAAGTTGGGGAGGGGGGGCTGTTGGACGCCACCATGCTCAGAAGCACACACGCACACACACACACACACACACACACACCAGATTGAGCTTTGGGGCACGACCCAAGCAAATGGCCAACGGATTTGGAGCAAGGATGCCAGCCTGGAACGAGCTACCCAGCCTGGTCAGGTCTGGGAAAGGGTCCAAAGGAAGCCGGGGACCCACGTTGGGCCAGGACCAATGATGCTCCCTGGGGTGGGGTGGGGGAAAGTGGGAGGGGACAACAGGGAGGAACAGGGCGACTGAAGCCAAGGTACGATGAGTAAGAAGTCAGTTTCAGTGGGTGAAGAAGGGAGGGAGGGAGAGAGGAAAGAAGGAAGGGAGAGAGAGAGGGAGGGAGGAAGATAGGAAGAAAAGAAGGGAGGGAAGGAGGGAGGAAGGAAGGAAAGAAGGGAGGAAGGGAGGGAGGGAGGGTGAGAGAGAGGGAGGAAGGGAGGGAGGGCAGGAGGAAGGAAGGGAGGAAAGAAGGGAGGAAGGGAGGGAGGGAGAGAGGAAGGAAGGAAGGAAAGAAGGAAGGGAGGGAGGGAGGAAGGGAGGGAGGGAGGGAGGAAGGAAGGAAAGAAGGGAGAAGGGAGAGAGGGAGGGAGGAAGGAAGGAAGGAATGAAGGAAGGGAGGGAGGAAGGAAGGGAAGAAGGGAGGGAGGGAGGGAGAGAGGAAGGACAGAAGGAAACAAGGGAGGGGGGAGAGAGGGAGGAGGAGGAAGAAGGAAGGAAGGGAGGGAGGGAGGGAGGAAGGAAGGGAGGAAGGATGGAAGGAAAGAAGGGAGGGAGAGAGGAAGGAAGGAAGGAAGAAAGGGAGGGAGGGAGGAAGGAAGGAAGGAAGGAGAGAGGGAGGAAGGAAGGAAGAAGGAAGAAGGAAGGGAGAGAGGGAAGAAAGGAGGGAGGGAGGGAGGGAGGGAGGGAGGGAGGAAGGAAGGAAGGACAGAAGGAAAGAAGGGAGGAAGGGAGAGAGAGAGAGGAGGAAGGAAGGAAGGAAGGAAGGAAGGAAGGAAGGAAGGAAGGAAGGAAGGAAGGAAGGAAGGAAGGAAGGAAGGCAGGCAGGCAGGCAGGCGAGGGGATGCTAGGTCAATTCAAACATGGACTCGTGAGAATAAGGACTGACGTAAAGGAAAATAAACCGATCTTACGAAAAGGACCGAGCGAAGCATTAATAAGAGTTTACAAACTCAAAACCCTCCCGTTTGAATTACAACAGATCAGAAAGAGCAGAGAAACTCCGACCTACTTCTGTGATTCTAATCACAGTACCTCCGACAATAAAACAGCCTTCTTGGGGATCTCGGTGAGATCTGTTCCTTCATCTGGCCTACCTCGCAGGGCTGGCATTTTGTCCCCATCGCAGTGATCCTCCCGGTGACTCTGGTAACTTCCCCAGCGCGACTGATTCCTTCCCCCCCCCAGCTGTTCCCTCTTCTACGGAAGGGCTAAGATCTTGCAACCCTCCAGATGTTGCTGAGTTACAACTCAGGGAAGTGGGAGCCGTCCTTCAAGCAACACAGGTGGGCTCTACCTGTGGGGCATCTCCCTCCCCATCCTGGCCTGGGGGGGGGGATTTCAAGCTCCTGGGCCTGAGTGACGCACCCCACAAAGCTATTTCTGACCTCCAAGGCCCACGCACGTTCAGCTGGTAGTCCTCAGCTTATGTCCTCAGCTTTATGTTTGCTAAATTTTGTCAAGGGAATCTCTGCACGGTTGTTAAGCGAATCCCGGCTTCCCCGTCGACTCTGCTTGACGGAAGGTCGCAAAAAGGGGAGAATCGCATGACCCCGGGAGGGCGGGAGGATGACGACGCTACGACTGTCGTAAAGGTGAGTCGGATGTCAAGTGCCTGAATGGAAATCACGTGACCACGGGGGGTGGAAGGAGAGATGCTACAACGGTCGTTAAGCGTGAAAAATAATCCTAGGTCCGCTTTTTATGAATCTTGGGAATCTTATCTTTCCATTCTCTTTTTAATGTAAACTTTAATGTAAATTTTTAATTTGTTCTTAACCTGGGGTTTTAAATTGATTTAATTCGATTTTACTTCTGCTCTTAAATTTTTGTATTCTGTGTGTTTTTATCTTGGGCCTGTTCACCGCCCCTGAGTCCTTCGGGAGTAGGGCGGTATATAAATCAAATAAAATGTAAAAAAATGAAAATGAAATATCTTCTTGGGGCTCTGACGCTGGCACCAGAGAAGATGCTGAAACACCCCTCTACAAATACACAGAAAGCACACAAAGCTCATTTACACTATTTATTTTTCTTTTTTTTCCCAGAGAGAACCTCCTGCCAGGAATTTGCCACCGACTATTTTTTTCCACCTGGGAAACAACCGAGGCCCCCATGAGCTTTTCGGGAAAACGCAAATCACTTTGAGAAGGGTAAAGGGAAGGAGGGGAGGGGGATGCCAGACAGCCTCGGATCCCCCTTGCTTTTAAACTGCGCTCAGCAGGTTTTTTCTTTTTAAAGCCAGGCTAAATGAAATGCCAGCCGAGGAGATTCGCATTCGAGGCAACGGCAAGCTCATTGATGATGCCTCCCGGGAACCAGGAGGGGCGAAACCCGGGTTCCAGCCGGCAGCGTGGCAGGAAACCGAAGAGCTCCGCGAGGAAGACAGGATAGCAGTCGTCCAATATTTGAGGGGCTGCCCTAAAGAAGAGGGAGGGTCAAGCTATTCTCCAAAGCGCCCGAGGGCAGGACGAGAAGCCAAGACGGATGGAAACTAATTGAAGGAGAGAAGCCACCTGGAATTAAGGAGAGATTTCCCGACGGTGAGAATAATTAACCAGCGGAACGACTTGCCACCAGGAGTTGCGAATGCTCCAACACTGGAAGTTTTTAAGAAGAGGTTGGATAACCATTTGTCTGAAGTGGTGGAGGGTTTCCTGCCTAAGCAGGGGTTGGACTAGAAGACCTCCAAGGTCCCTTCCATCTTCTCTATTCTATTCTATTCTATTCTATTCTATTCTATTCTATTCTATTCTATTCTATTCTATTCTATTCTATTCTATTCTATTCTATTCTATTCTCTCCTCTCCTCTCCTCTCTTCCATTTCCTATTCTATTCCTATAATTCTATTCCTATAATTCTAATTCTAAATCTAATATCTTCTCTTCTATTCCTATTATTCTACTACTCTAACTCCAATTCTAATTCTATTCTATTCCCTGAGACTTCACAAAGCTACTATCAATTGAAGCAGACAGTTTTGGAGCTTTAATAATATGTACTATTTCATGAAAAATGATGGATAAATGACTGTACATCTAATATGTTTATGAGAAACAAAAATAAAAACTTTTTTTTTGAAAAAAAAATATGTACTTATATTTTCTTATATTCTTTCTTCTGCCAATGAATAGGATTTCCTGCCTGAGCAGAGGGTTGGACTACAAGACCTCCAAGGTCCCTTCCATCTTCGCTATTCTATTCTATTCTATTCCATCCTATATTCTATTCTATTCTATTCTATTCTATTCTATTCTATTCTATTCTATTCTATTCTATTCTATTCTATTCCATTCCATCCCATATTCTATTCTATTCTATTCTATTCCATCCCATATTCTATTCTATTCCTATAATTCTATTCCTATAATTCTAATTCTAATTCTAATCTCTTCTATTCCTATTATTCTATTACTATTAATAGAATAATTAATATATTAATAATATATATTATATAATAATCTATAATATTCTATTAATAGAATATTACTATTCTATTATTCTCTAACTAACTCTAACTCTAACTCTAACTCTAACTCTAACTCTAACTCTAACTCTAACTCTAACTCTAACTCTATTCTATTCTATTCTATTCTATTCTATTCTATTCTATTCTATTCTATTCTATTCTATTCTATTCTATTCTATTCTATTCTATTCTATTCCCTGAGACTTCACAAAGCTACCATCAATTGAAGCAGACAGTTTGGGGAGTTTTAATAAAGGGATCTAATATTGTACTATTTCTTATATTCTTTCTTCTGCCAACGAAAAGGGTTTCCTGCCTGAGCAGTTGGACTAGAAGACCTCCAAGGTCCCTTCCAACTCTTGTTATTCTAGCATTAGTAAATGGATCTAATATGTACTATTTCTTGCATCCTTTCTTCTGCCAAAGAATATAAAAATACTGAAAATAAAACCCAGCCAATATGAGAAAGACCCTCAAATTTAGCTGCCGGTGGCTCAGGGCTAAGAACTCAAAACCCAAACAAAAAGTGGAACCTCCAGCTCGGTTCTCAGCCCGGCTCTAGATTCAAACTCAGCACCACGCAGGTGTGAAGGCATTCCTAAGCAGGAAGAGTTGACCCGGTTCAAATCTCGAGTCTAAAGGCTTCATTTCAGAGGAGGGTCCCCGATTATAATTAACCAGACATGAAATCAAAAGGATGACATTTTTGTGGAGACCCAAAGACTGCCACCCGCATACAGATAGTCCTCAACTTATGACCGCAATGGACGTTGCCTAAGTGAGACATTTGTGAAGCGGGTTTTGCCTCATTTTTACGACCTTTCTTGCCACCGTTGCTAAGCGGGTCGCTACAAATTATTAAATCAGTAACATGGTTGTTAAGTGAATCTGGCTTCCCCGGTCACTTCGCTTGTCAGAAGGTCGCAAAAAGGGACACCGCAAACCATCGTAAACGCGAGTCAGTTGCCAAGCGTCTGAAGTTTGATCGTGGCGATGGCGCAACTGTCATGTGAAAAATAGTCCCAAGTCACTTTTTTCAGGGCCGTTGTAACTTCAAGTGGTCACTAAGCGAGGGTGAGACAGAACGGCCATATAAATCTGACAAATACATAAATATTCCTTTGCGATACCGATCGGGTGCCCAGGCGGTTCTACGAGCTTGCAACAAGTCAGGAGGGCATCACAATTCTGAAATCCTCCCACCCTCCCCAAATTTGGACCATTAGTTCAAGCTACAAGCAGGGGTGAAACCCAGCAGGTTCTAACAGGTTCTGAAGAACCGGTAGCGGAAATTTTGAGTAGTTCAGAGAACTGGCAAATACCACCTCTGGCTGGTCCCAGAAAGGGGTGGGAATGGGGATTTTGCAATATCCTTCCCCTGGAGTGGGGTGGGAATGGGGATTTTGCAGTGTCCTTCCCCTGAAGTGGAGTGGGAATGGGGATTTTGCAATATCCTTCCCCCAGGAGTGGGGAGGGAATGGAGATTTTGCAGTGTCCTTCCCCTGGAGTGGAGTGGGAATGGAGCTTTTGCAATATCCTTCTCCAGGAGTGGGGTGGGAATGGAGCTTTTGCAGTATCCTTCCCCTGGAGTGGTGTAGGAATGGGGATTTTGCAATATCCTTCTCCAGGAGTGGGGTGGGAATGGGGATTTTGCAGTGTCCTTCCCCTGGAGTGGAGTGGGAATGGAGATTTTGCAATATCCTTCCCCAGGAGTGGGGTGGGAATGGAGATTTTGCAGTGTCCTTCCCCTGGAGTGGTGTGGGAATGGAGATTTTGCAGTGTCCTTCCCCTGGAGTGGAGTGGGAATGGAGATTTTGTAGTATCCTTACCCTGCCACGCCCCCCCGAGCCACACTACACTCACCAAGCCACGCCCACAGAACCGGTAGTAAAAAAAAAAATTGGATTTCACCGCTGGCTACAAGCTACTTTTCCCCCCCCCCCCGAGCAGCAAATTTTCCCCCCCCAAAGCAGCAAATTAAAACCGAAGCAGTCCGCGTGGTTTAGGATGGCGATCCAGAAGCCGAACCAAAAAGAGAAAAGGCTGTTTGAAAAAGGATTTCAGATTAAAAACCTTCGGAGGTCACAATGAAGCAACAATGAGAGAATTGCAACGGAAACAGCCGGTTTTTTGGGGGGTGGAGTCTTTGTTGAGAAGGTCCGTTCTGCGAGAGACTTTGGAAAGGGAGCCACCACTAAAAAGGCCCCGATTATTTCTGTTATTGAGCTCAAACTGATCTCCGCAGCAGGACAACAAGGTTTAAATCTGAATTTAAAAAAACCACAGCAGTGTTGTTTCAAAAACCATATAGGAATAAATACTCGGCATTTCCTTGGAGTTTATTTAGCATACCCGCCTAGATATTCTCCCTTCCTCTTAACTCAGACTACGGGTCTCTTGTAGGCAGCTGAATTATTTCTCAATTGAATGAAATAAATTGAATGAAATAAATTGTCCACTCACCTGGTCTCTGGATTGTAGCCCAGGATATAGAAAAAGGAGTCCATTCGGGCTTTGAACTCCCTAGCAGCAAAGATGTCGGAGAAATGAGAGATGTTACATTTCCCCTGCAAGGAAGGGAAGGAAAAAAAAAAGGAATATCACAGGAATATTACTTAACAGAGAACAGCAAACACCCCCCCCAAAAAACCCAAATCTGGTTTCACGTTTTTTTTTAAAAAAAAACACCTTCTCTCTGAAACTTTGAAACCTCTCTCTCTTTAAATTTTTTTTTAAAAAGTTTATTTTAAAAAAAGTTTTTTTTTTTTAAATTTTTAATAAAAATATCACATCAATGCGTGAACAGGTGCCACATTTATTTTAAAACAAATTAAACTAATCAGGTTAATCATAATCATTACATTCAATCCGCTTATGTATTTCTAATAATAAGACACGCTTGTGTTAAGTTATAGTCTACCATTATTCAATTATTCCACGTTTTCTCTTGTTATTACTGTCATTTTATGGTATAAAAATGTATACACTAAGATTCCCCCTTCTCTCATTTCTATCGCTTATTCTAACTTTTGACATCTCACCCTTTATTAAGAAACTTCTTTCTTTCTTTCCTAACTTCTAATCATGTCACCTACCTAAGAAAAGGGGGAAAAAAAGGAAGAGAGAGAGAAAAGGAAAAGCAACTCAGAACAACAACAAAAATGAGAAATCATCCATCCATCATCTCTTGCCCGCTTCAATGCTTTAATTGCTACGCTTTAAGAGAAAGATAGGGAAAAGGAAAAGCAAATGAAAACAACACAAAAAGAAGAAAAAAATCACGTATCCATCGTCTCTTGCCCGCTTCAATACTTTAATTGCTACGCTTTAAGAGAAAGATAGGAAAAAGGAAAAGCAAATGAAAACACCACAAAAAGAAGAAAAAAATCATCTATCCATCATCTCTTCCCCGCTTCGATACTTTTAACTGCTATGTTGTTGTTTTTTTACTTGCCTCCCGAATTCCTCTCTAAAATCTTTGTCTCTGTCTGCTTTTTGGATGTTCAATCTAGGTAATCCTCTCACCTCTACCCTCTTCTACTGCCCTCTCTGAGAGAATTACTGAATTTTATATATCAAGGAAGAATTTTAATGGGATCCTCATTTAATGGGATTACTTCAAACCAATTGCAAACCATTTGTCTGAAATGGTATAGGGCCATGATGGTGAACCTATGGCACGCGCCACAAGTGGCACATGGAGCCATATCGGTGGGCACACAAGCTCAGCTCTGGTGTGCATGCAATCTCAGCTCCAGTGTGTGCTGATTTTCGGGCCTTCTGGGCCCACCAGAAGTAGGGAAATAGGCTGATTTTTGCCTCCAGAGGGCCTGGGAGGGAAGCCCGTTTTTTGTTCTTCCCAGGCTCCAGAGCCTCTCTAGGAGCCTGGGGAGGGCGAAAACAGCCTCCCCCCCCCTCCGAGGCCGGAAACAGCCCATTTGCAACTTCCGGTGGGACAGGAAGTCAGCAAACGGGCCGTTTCCGGCCTCCGGGGAGAGGGAAAGGCCATTTTCGCCCTCCCCAGGCTCCAGAGCCTCTCTAGGAGCCTGGGGAGAGGAAAAAACGGGCCTACCAAGCCCACCGTGTGCCAAAAGTGGGGGAGCCGTGCGCAAATGCGTGGGGGGGGCATATAATTATGGGTGTGGGCACGCACGCGTGTGAACACCACCCCTCCGGCTCCCCTGCTTTTGGCACGCGATGGCAAAAAGGTTAGCCATCCCTGGTATAGGGCTTCCTGCTTGAGCAGTGGGTTGGCCCTTCCAGCTTCAGTATCCCGTGAGAATAATCTCATGGGCTGTTTTTTTTAGCTACTCACCTGAGGGCAGCAGCATGGTAAGTGTCCACATAGTCTGAAATGAAAAGCTCTCTGTTCTTGATCACTGGGTCGGTGATAACCAGCTCCCGCCCAGAATCTGTGGAAAGAAAGCCGCGTGTTAGCGGTGCCTCTCGCAGTCAGCACAATTTTCTCCGAAGTCCCTCAAAAAGCCACCTGTCATGTTTAGAGGTAAAAGGAGAGGCCAGGACCATGCTCTTCGTGCACGGAGAAGATCCTGCTTTGGCTCTGAGGAGGTGTAAGGAAAGAGCAGAATCGGTTTGTATAAATCCTGGGCCTTAGTTGGTCTAAGCCAGGTGCAAACAGCTGGACGTGATCTAAGGCTGTTCTGATGCTGTCATCCTATGTCAGGTGTGCCAGGTTCGGCTTGGCGCCTCACAAGCATCCTGCCATCAGAGGCTAGTGGCTAGTAGTCCCGCCTGGACTACTGCAATGCTCTCTACATGGGGCTCCCCTTGAGGAGCACCCGGAGGCTCCAACTGGTGCAGAATGCGGCCGCGCGGGGGATTATGGGAGCGAGGGGGCGCTCCCATGTGACGCCTCTCCTGCGTGAGCTGCATTGGCTTCCTGTGGTCTTCCGGGTGCGCTTCAAGGTGTTGGTTACCACCTTTAAAGCGCTCCATGGCTCAGGACCTGGGTATTTGCGGGACTGCCTTCTGCTGCCGATAGCCTCCCACCGACCAGTACGCGCCACAGAGAGGGACTCCTCAGGTGCCGTCAGCCAGGCAATGTCGGCTGGCGACCCCCAGGGGGAGGGCCTTCTCTGTGGCAGCTCCTGCCCTCTGGAACGATTTGTCCCCGGAAATACGAAGGATATCGGATCTCCGGGTCTTTCGCCATGCCCTGAAAACTTTTCTTTTCCATCAAGCAGGGCTGGCGTGAAACACCCCCCCCGCCACTTTTTAAGTCTTTTTTAGTTTTTTAGCTTTTAAATTGTCAATGGGTTTTAATTTGAATTGTTTTAAATTTGGGCCAAAGTCATGTAATTCTTTTAAAAATTTTAAATTTTGTATTGGTATGTGTTTTAGTTCTGGCTGTGCACCGCCCTGAGTCCACTAGGAGAAGGGCGGTATACAAATTGAATAAAATAAAATAAATAAAATAAATAGTGTGTGTGTGTGGGAGGATAGATGGGTAATAAAGCTGTGTGTGTATAAGGTAAGAAATTGGGAGGTGGGAATGAAAGGTGATAAAGATCAGAGAAGCTCGGAACGTGATTTTTACCAGCATCCAAGGCCAGGCACCCCGGGAAAGAATGTGGATTACCCCAAAGCCTCTCAGTGTTCTCAAAACACTTCAGTGAGTTCTGATTGGCCGAAGATAAGACTGGTCACTGGGGTGTGTGTGTGAGGGGCTGGGGTGAGAGGAAACCTTTCTGTATCTTTTGAGAAACCCAGATCTAGCCTGACTTCACTGCAGCAGAACCTTTCGCTTCAACCAAACGGGAGTCGATGGTCTTTCTTTCCTAAGAGATCAGATTGGGACAGGCCTGACACTCTAGTATAGATCCCACATTAGGTCTCCTTGGAACCCACTGCTTCCTTTTACACCCATCATGTTGGGAACTGAAAGATTCCACGGGGATTCAGCTGTGGAGCTTCCTTTCCCCAAAAGACATCGTGCAGTCAGTCGAAGGGAAAACTACCAGCTCATAAAACACGGTGTCTCCCTTTTTCTTTTGAAGTTCTTGTTCCAGCTCTTGTGATCAAAGGAAGACTGGGAAAAAGTCTTCCCCAAATGTGAAAATCTGAAAAAATGTAAAGGGAAGCTTCCACACTCCAGCACTTAATTCCACTTTTTTTATTTATTTATTTTTTTTGGAGGATTTCCCTTTGGCCCAGACGTCTTCTCCACGTGGCCAGAAACAGGCAGGAAGGTGCCTGTTGGAAGGTTGACACTTCACAAGCTGGTAGCCTCGGGATGCAACACCCACCTCTGTTACAAATGGAGTTTGAATGCCACGAGCAGAACAAAGAGAAGACAACCCGCTCAGAGGCCCGGCAACGGCTTCGCCACCCCCCCAACTTACCGTTTTCGTTGTGTCGGTCCTGGACCAAATGTTGGTAAACGGAATCCGGGACTTCGGATTGGCGGTAGTACCACTTGACGTTCATGAGCAGGTGGTCCCGCTTGCTCTGGAAGAGAAGGAAGGAGAAATCCGTTACGGACGAGGGAACCGGAGCAGCTTGCTCGCTGACGCAGCGCTAGGTGGGCGGATGTGGCGGCTCGCTGCAAGAAAAGTGAGTTGTTTGGCCCATGAGAGGAGGGAAAGGAGCAGGGGTGGGCTGCTGGGGGTTCGGGAGAATCTCTAGCTAAGATTCTGTGCAGTTTGGAGAAGCCACGAATTCCACTCTTGGCTGGCCCTGCCTGCCCCATCCCGCCACTCCCAGGAGTACCCACGTGGCCCGTTTTGGATGCAGGTAAGTGCAGGGCGCATGCGGAGGTTCGCGGAGGTGAAAAACGGGCCTACCGGAAGTTCAGGAAGGCCAGAAATGGGCCCGTTTCCAGCCTCCAGAGAGCCTCCGGAGCCTGGGGAGGACGTTTTTGTCCTTCCGGAGGCTTGAGGAAAGCCTCCAGAGTCCGGGGAGGGCAAAAACGCGCCCCCTGCAGTGGGCCTAGGCCCCCAGAGACCACCTAGGCCACGCCCACCATGGCCACGCCCATCCAGCAACCGGACAGAGAACCCTTTGCTAAAATTTTTGAAGGCTACCCCTGGGGAGGAGAATGAAGAGAGACCTTCTCTGTGGGCAACACTGCATAAGGACAACACACAGCACTGCCCAAACACACATCGGAAGCTTAGCAGCAAAATTTGGGGCTCAGTTGTGGTTGTAAGTCGAGGACAGGTGCCTGCCTGGCCTATGGGCAGAGGCAAAAGTAAACTGAGGGATTAAGTTGCCCTTCCAAAATTCTGACCTCCAGCAAACAGAGAAGTTCATTAGAGAGGGCTGGCGGAAACCTAAGAGCCTTGCTAGTACAGTGGTCTAAAGCACCCTGTTATTAAGACCAGCTGTCTGCAATTACTGCAGGGTTCGAATCTCGCCAAGGTTCAAGGTTGACTCAGCCTTCCATCCTTTCTAAGGTAGGTGAAATGAGGACCCAGTTTGTGGGGGCAATAAGCTGACTTTGTATAAATATACAAAAGGAATGAAGGCTATTGCTTAGCACATTGTAAGCCACCCTGAGTCTCTGGAGAAGGGCGGCATATAAATCAAATTAAAAAAAAAAAGATGCTGATCAGTCTGTGGTACAGAGGTGGGTTTCAGCAGGTTCTGACCAGTTCTGGAGAACCGGTAGCGGAAATTTTGAGTAGTTCGGAGAACCGGTAGTATAAAATCTGACTGGCCCCGCCCCCATCTATTCTCTGCCTCCCGAGTCCCAGCTGATCGGGAGGAAATGGAGATTTTACAGTATCCTTGCCCTGCCACGCCCACCAAGCCACGCCCACCAAGCCACACCCACAGAGCCGGTGGTAAAAAATTTTGAAACCCACCGCTGCTGTGGTACCTTTAGATTTTTATTTTTAATTTTTTAAATTTGATTTATATGCCGCCCTTCTCCAGAGACTCAGGGCGGCTTACAGTGCGTTAAGCAATAGCCTTCATCCTTTTGTATATTTATACAAAGTCAGCTTATTGCCCCCACAAACTGGGTCCTCAATTTACCTACCTTAGAAAGGACGGAAGGCTGAGTCAACCTTGAGCCTGGGGAGATTCGAACCTGCAGTCATTGCAGACAGCTGGTGTTAAATTACAGTGCTCTGTCTGTGAGCTATCCAGGCTCAGATTAACTGACTTAACCTGCTGGCATAAGTTTCTTTTCTTGGCTAAAGCCCAGCTCCTTAGGTCAGAATCTCCCATGCTTATTAGTGCTTGCCCCACAGAAAAATGGGGGTGGGGGGGGTGGGAAAAAGCCAAGGCAATCCTAAATTGCATTTATAAAGGGAGTCAATCAATATCAAGGGAGGTACTAATACCACTCTATAAAGCCTTAGTAAGACCACACCTAGAGTACTGCATCCAGTTTTGGTCACCACAGTAGAAAAAAAGATGTTGAGACTCTGGAAAGAGTGCAGAGAAGAGCAACCAGGATGATGAGGGGACTGGAGGCTAAAACTAATATGATGAACGGTTGCAGGAACTGGGCATGCTAGTCTAGTGAAGAGAAGGACCAGGGGAGACAGGATAGCATCTTCCAATATTTGAGGGGCTGCCCAGAGAGGAGGAAGGGGGTCAAGCTGTTTTCCAAGGCACCCGAAGGCCAGACAAGGAACAACGGATGGAAACTGAACAAGGAGAGATTCAACCTAGAAATAAGGAGGAATTTTCTGATGGTGAGAACGATCAACCCATGGAAGAGAAGTTGCCTTCGGACGTTGTGGGAGCTTCATCACTGGAGGCTTTCAAGAAGAGACCGGACTGCCATCTGTCAGAAATGGTGTAGGGTCTCCTGCTTGGGCAGGGGGTTGGACTAGATGACCTACAAGGTCCCTTCCAACTCTTGTTAATCTGTTAAAATGGACGTTTTCACCATGCACAACATTCGGAAGAGTTCCCAGGTGGCAGATTCAGCAGCTCTCCTGCCGGAGCCACGACTTAGGTAGTCCTCGACTTACGACCCGCAGTCGAGCCCAACATTTCTCTTGTTAAGTTGAGGCATTCGTTAAGTGAGCTTGGCCCCATTTCACAGCCTTTCTTGCTACGGTTGTTAAGTGAATCACCGCAGTGGGTAAGTTAATAACCCGGTCGTTCCATGAATCTGGCAACCACCGTTGACTTTGCTCGTTAGGAAGTCGCAAAAGGGGATCGCTCGACCCTGGGATACCCACAACCGTCGTAAATAGGGACCAGCTGTCCAAGCGTCCGAATGTTAAGTCCCGTGACCGCAGGGATGCTTGCAAAGGTCGTAACTCTGAAAAACGGCCGTTAAGTCACTTGTTTCGGTAACTTTGATCGGTCACTAAACAAACTGTCGTTAAGACCAGGTTGGATAAAATCAATGATTTTTTTTAAAAAAATCTAAAAAATTGGATTTTTTTATTTAAATCAGATTTTTTTTGATTTTTATCAAATTTATTTTAATAAAAAAACTTTTGGGGTAAAAATCTATCGTAAGATAGTTTTCTATTTAAGATACATAAATAATTTAGTTTATTCAGCATGAAATGGAGCTGAGTTATGTAGCAGGAGGCTGTATATTCTGCAACACTGGGACTATCGGTGAGTCAACAGTGGGTCAAAGGAGTAGCAGAGATGACAGCTGCTCTTTAAAAATTATGATTTAAATCGAGTTGATTTAAATCAAGCCTTTTTACTAGTGATTTAATCATGATTTAAATCAACTCGATTTAAATCAACTCCACCCTGGTTAAGACGAGGACTACCTGTAACTGGTTCTCACGAGGTGAGTCGGAAATGCTTTCGAAGCCTAGCAATTTATTTAAGTAATGTGTGGGGCTAATTCCATTCCTCTTCCTTTTCTCTGCCCTCCCTTCATCCCCCTATATTGCTAAGATCTCTCTCTTTTTTGGGGATAGGGAGAAAGCCCATGTAATACTGTAGAAAATCCAGCCCGTGGCAGCATTGTCCCAGGGAAAAAAATAATAATCTGGGTGGTGGTGTGTTTTTTTTTTTTTTTTTTTTTTTACTTTTTACAAACTGCTTGCAATGCTGTATGGCTGGCATACTGGTTTTTTTTATTTTTAAACGTGGTAGAAATGAGAAAAATACTGTGGGGCAAAGGAGCTTCAGGAATCGGCAGCTGAACCGCCCCAGCCTAGAGAAGGGAGCCACAATTAAAACTGAACTCTGGTGGTTTGGTGGTCGGCCTCAGTTCTTCCTGCAGAAAGGATCTCAGGGAGCAACAGGCAGGGGTGGGCTGCAAAAATTTTAGCAAGGGGTTCTCTGCCTGGTTGCTGGGTGAGCGTGGCCAGGGTGGGCGTGGCCTAGTCGGCCTCCTGCACCATGGCCGGGGTGTGTGTGTGTTGTTTTTGCCCTCCCCAGGCTCCAGGGGCTTTCTGTTCTGTCCCCAACCACACGCGCACACACCAACAGACGTTCAAGAGTTAAAGACCAAACCAGCCGGCAAAATCCTTCTCCTTATGATAACAGAACTTGGCAACAACCTAGTGGCTGCCTGCCAAGAGTTTATTATTTACGAAGAGGAGAGATAACTTCTCCCCGCTTCTGATACACCAAAAGAAACAGCTCAATAATTACAATCAAGTCCAGAGATAATCCAGCCAAGTCTTAAAGCAAAAGTCCGGCAATGCAGAATGGTGTCGAAGCTTTCAGCTTTGTTCGTCACAAGGTTTGACTGGCCACCACACTCCCTTTTATACCCTGTGGGGTGTGGTCCAGTGACTCAGCCTAATCTCGGGCACGCCTTTTCTTCTGTTGCACGCGCTTATCTCTGTGACGCTGGCGTGGATCCAGCCAAGACTCATTACCCTCATCACTGTCCATCTGTGGCTGCATGGACGTGCTTGACCCCTATCTCTTGCTCTTCGACGGACACCGAAGGCATTGCCAGAGAGGAGGGTCCTGGAGAGGGAGGCCTTGCCAACTCCTCTCCTTCACTCTCGGAGTCCTCTCCTGCCGATGACACAGGCTCAGGCAACGGAGCCACAACACTTTCCTCGAGCCTCCAGGAGGGCAAAAATGGCCTCCCCAGGCTCCGGAGGTCGGAAAAAGGCCCAAACTTCAGTAGGCCTGTTTTTCGCCCTCCCGAGCCTCCACGCGTGCCCTGTACTTACCTGCAATCAAAACGGGCCGTGTGGGGACTCCTGGGAGGGGAGGGGTGGGCGGGGCCAGCCAGGAGTAGGATTTGGGGCAGTGGTGAAATGTAAAATTTGTTACTACCGGTTCTGTGGGCGTGGCTTGGTGGTGGTGAGGTTTAATGTGACTGAGTAGGCATGGCCAACTTTTTTTTAAAAAAACTTTTAAAAGCCGAAGAGGTTGTAAAAAAAAAAAAATGCTGTTAAAAGCCTCTGATGATCCCAGCTGAGCCGCGCGATCAACACTAGGATCAAAACTCTCAGCCTCCTGATTGCGAGGCAAGAGTTCCATCACAAGGTCACCACACCAGGCTGCATTGCACTGATGAAGGAAAAAGCTGCATCTCTGCTCCGGTCCTG